AGGCTGGTCTCGAACTCACAGAGATCCACCTGCCTCTGCCTCCCGAGTGCTGGGATTAAAGGCGTGCGCCACCACCGCCCGGCCTCCAGAAATGTTTCTTCCTTGGATCACTGAGGTTTTTTTGTTTTGTTTTGTTGGTTTTCCAAAACAGGGTTTCTCTGTGTAGCCCTGGCTGTCTTGGAACTCACTCTGTAGACCAGGCTGGTCTCAAACTCAGAAATCTGCCTACTTCTGCCTCTTGAGTGCTGGGATTAAAGGCATGTACCCCCACGGCCTGGCTTTCACTGAGGTTTTCTAACACTGGCGATAGCCTCTGGCACGTAGTAGGCACACACTACCAATTTGATGACTGGTCAGTTTAACCTTTTGACCACCAAAGGCATCTTCGCTCATGCTCTCTTCTTGGTTGGCTCTGGCACCGTTGGTTTCCTCTGCTCACATCCTTTGCCCCTCACAGCCCGTTCCCTGTTTCTTGTATGCACATGAGTGAGAAAGATATCCAGGGGTCTGTGCATTGCATCTGTCTCCTAGAATCCCCACTCAGACCACCAGCCTTGAAGACTGAGACATGTGTTCTTAAATGGCTGACACATTTTATGTCCTACCCAGCACAGTGAATTTTTAAGCTGTTGCATATAAAAAGGAAATTTTGTTTTGTTTCTCAAGCAATGAAGTTGTGCAATTATTGGGCACTGGCTGATTTTGCATTGTTAGGCAATGATGGTAGGGAAAGCTTATGGTGTTGAAATCACTGAAAGTCACACCATTATTTCTGTTGATTAGTGAAAGACTTACGGCCCCAAATAGCTGGTTTATGGTGTAGACCCCTATACCAGTGCTTTTCTGAGAGATTTTTACTCTGAGTGAGAGTTGTCTTGTTAGGCTGTAATACCCTTCCACTAGTTCTGTAACCTTGATGTGTTGTTCTTCTTGCTGAGTTCTGCCTTAGAGCAGCCCTGCTTGCTACCTGCCTCACATCCATAGGGAGTAGATAAAAGGAAGGCTGCTGGTATTTATTGTATTCCCATCCCTCCCCTTGGGTTACATTGGCTAGAGTAATCATTTAACAAACAACAACAGAGCACTCAAGAGTTCTTGTCAGGAATTTGGAGACACTCCAGGAATCCAGTTTATTCATATTTAGTTAGAGAATTACGGTGCATCCTTATAAGCTAAAGTTAAACAGAAACTGTTGAATCCCTAATCAATCACGCACTTACATGTGACCTTTCCTTCCCTGTCCTTCTGTGTCACGTTGCTGGCTGCTGCTGCTGCTTCCTTTTTCTTCCCTTTTAACTGCTAGTGGCATTTCCGAGAGAGAAAGAGAGATCTACCATTTCTAGAAAAATCAGGAAAGTTCTTCAAGATTTTGAAGAAATGGTCTCAGCTTTGTGTTTCCTAAAAACCCTTAATATTGCCTAATGTTATCCATAATATGTACTTTATGCTCACATGTGTTGAATCAAGCTGAGAATATTTGCTACCTGTTAGTACCAGAAGTATTTTGTTATTGTCTTTTTGTTTTGTTTTGTTTTTTTGTTTTGTTTTGTTTTGTTTTTTGAGACAGGGTTTCTCCTTGTTGTTTTGGTACCTGTCTTAGATCTAGCTCTGTAGACCAGGCTGGCCTCGAACTCACAGAGATCCACCTGGCTCTGCCTCCCGAGTGCTGGGATTAAAGGCATGCGCCAACACTGCCCAGCTTGTTATTGTCTTAAAGTCAGATATCAATATTTTTAATTAATAGAGTACTTCATATTCAGCAGACTAAAAACTTAGAAAGTCTGATGAGGACTCTGATCCTAAACCTGGAAGGTCGGGCTTGTTCAGGTTCTGGGAACTTTGATCTTGTTCCTGTAAAAACTTCCTAAAGCAAGAGGCAGTCTTCCTCAAATCTCTGATGTAGATTTAGGCCAGACACCTATTGTTAGAGTAATCAGCTTTGAGTCCATGGTGGGAGCTGTATGGGAACCCATGGCTTCTGCTCTGTGCAGGATTCTGAGATGAAGCAGAGTGGCTTCATCTCCGTTCTTTCCTCCCAGTCTCGGGTTGCATGACTCACGTTTTCTCTGAGACACAGTCCTGTATCCTTGTGAAAGACCACAGCTGTGCTTAAGGAAAAGCATCTTTAAAATGCCAACTACGATTTGAGTTCAATGGTCTCTTATTTTAAAAGAAATATTAAAATTACTGTTAGGGGCAGCACATCATATCTTTTTTCTTTTTAAATAATTATACTTTAGAATTACAGGTTGTTCTTTTAAATGACTTTATTTTAACCGGTGTTTTCTTTACAGAAAATCTTCGTTATAATAACTTTCAGCAAGCACATCGTGGAACAGATGGTGGCTTTCATTGGGTGAGTAATTCCTTAAAGACTAATATTAATATTGTGCTTTGAGTAGAGTGAATGTGTGTGGAAGAGTAAGTTAGGATGAAAAATTAAAACGGCTCTGTTTGTGAGAAACAAAAAGTATTTACCCTGTTGTTAGTTATTGAAAAGACATTCTTACCCAGCTGCAGGGAAGAATGAAGCTCACTTTTTCCACTTTTTTGGAAACTAACTATGTATCAGTTCACGTAATTCTTGATTTTAAAGAGCTTTGGGGTTAGTGTCTGTGGCCTCTCTTTGTAGAAAAGGCATGCATGTGTCGTTACAGTTTAATGGAGCTTTAGGCCAACTACACAGTTTCAAGTTCCATTAAATATAAATCATACATAAAGTTTGAGTAGTTCATTAAAGGAGGTGCAGTGGTATGGTATAATATTCTCAAAATTTATCAAGTAGGAAGCTGTTACTTCACTAGAGAAAAATTAGCCCAATAAAAGGGCCAAACTATCCAATGCTTTTGTTTGATTATTTACTTATTGCAATTTAACATACAGTTCAAATGATAATATCACAAAATCATCGCTACAAGTCAACAAATTATTAGTACAATATATGAATTGTTAATACAACATTTTAACATACAGTTTGAATGATAATGTCACAAAGTTGTTGGCTACAGGTCTACAAAACAGTGCAGAAATACTGATTTTGATTAATCTTCAGCTGGAATCTGAACAGAGTCAGGTGTTGGAAATAAAACCAAGAACTGTTGGGTTCTGAGCTTGCATCATCCGTCATGTGTTCTTTGTATTCATTTTTTTGCAAGAGAGAATTTTCTTTCCTTTAGTAGTAGAGTGTGCCATGATGGAAACATGTTAGCTTAAAGTGCACTCTGCTTATCCTGAATGTCAGTCTGCATCTTAAAAGTCACTGACACCAGCAAACATTTGTGAAAACCTTTACTATTTAAAATGAGTTGCTACTTGGTGATGAGTTTGTGTTGGTTTGTTTTTCTTTAAACCGTGCACTATATAGCATAATTACTCTTATGTATTATGTTTTATAGTAAAAATCGTTTTTACAATATTTTATATCATTGCTAATGAAATAAGGAAAACTACATTCTTGAGACTATACTAAATAGAACCAAGTATTGCTTTATTAATTCCTAAATTTCTGATTATTGATGTGGAGTATAATTTATACATGAAACTGTAACCTCTCTGGTTTTTGTGCTGCCTGAATCTGTGTAAACAAATGCTTCATATGTCACTATATATCACTTTCAAAGCAAAGGAAGGGGAGGTGGGTCCGCTGGTACAGGCCTGTCTTCCCAGCCCTGGGGAGGCTAAGGGTGGGTCAGAGTTTGAGGCCCTCCTGAGGTACGTCTTTCGTGGGGTGGGGGTGGGGATGGATATTCTTGTCTCCCATTTTTGAAATGTGAGGAAAATATTCATCCATTCTTAGAGATTACTCCACCTTCTTTGAGAAAATTCTGAAAGAACAGACACGTTGTAAGCTGGTTGTAAGCTGTCATTCACACATGCGCACACAGTGTAGAACGACAGTGCTGGGTGGCACCCACTTCATTTCTCCTCTCCTCAGACTAAACCTTGTAGCAGTAATAGTTTCGGTTACTTTTCTCCTCCTCCACCATCACCTCCAGCCTGTGGGGTTTCTAGACGCTGGCATTACAGAGCCGCCTGGCTCATCTGCTGAAACTGTTTCTGACCTCCCCAATGATCCGTTACACCCTGCCACCATCAGTAACCTTACAATTTTAACTGGGCATGTTTCCAACAGTATCCTCAATCCTCTGCTCCTTTTTGCTTAGCACCCTCACTTGGTTTCCTTTTGTTCTTAAAAGAAAAATGAAAACTCCTCGAGGTGTATAAAGCTCTGAGTGCCTGTCTCCTGCTCAAACAGTGGCACAGATGCCTGTGATTCCCACTGTGATTCCCGCTGTTCATCTTTGAGCCTGCTCTTCCCTTTGCCTGTCTTGGGACGCCTTACCCTTTGCACCCTTACGTTCTTCATTATGAGGGACCATCCCATGCATTGGTAATAAGACGGCTGACAGTGTCCTCGTCCTCTACACGGTGTATGCCCCTAGCAGTACGCTCCCAGTCTAACAAGTCATTCCAGGGCTGAAACAATTGCTCAGCAGAATACCATTTGGGCAGCACGTGGAGGCCCTTGGTTCAATCTCTGGAAGTGTAAATACAATTATCACCTCATAGACATGGGTTACTCGGTTGTAGAGTATAGTCCTCACATGTAGAATGTTCCAAGTGTGTTCCCCACCACCACAAAAAATGTGTGTTTTCCACATTGGTGCCAAGTATTGTATGGAAGATAAACCCATCCATCATCCACAGTCAGAATGTCCATTAGATTTCAGCTTTTATTCTCAGAAAACCTTCTATGATTTGGTCAAATATTCCTGAGCTAGGGACCTCTCTGCACAGCAACATGTACTACATGCACTTACAGTTTTATTTTTGTGCTTACAAATATATGATTACTTGTCGTCGTCGTCGTCGTGGTCGTCGTCGTCGTGGTCATCATCGTCTCCCCCCTCCCCCCGCCTTTTTTTTTCTGGGAGTCTTATGTAGCCCAGGCCAACCTCAAATATTCTTACGTAGTTGAGGCTGGTCTTAAACTTCTGATCCTCTTGCCTCTGCCTCCTGAGTGCTGGAATTCTAGATGTTCCCCACAAGGCTCAGTTTATATGGCTCTGAGGATCAAATCTGAGACTTTATATGTGCTGAGCAAGCAGTCTACCAACTCAGCTACCTCTCTAACCCTGATCAACATCTTTTAGATCCACCCGTATCTGCCACCCAAGTGATGGGATAAAAGGCATGTGTCCCCATGTCCAGCATCTGTGCGCTTCCTAATACCAGAGAGCATGCGTTACTGTTCACTGAGCACCTGAGCACTTGACTTACACATAGCAGATCCTCAGGAAATGAATATATGCTATCCAAATAGAGAAGCCAGCAGGTCATTTGCATTAGCCCACATTCTTCTATTTGTTTCCTCAGATATTGGAGTTTCTAAGAAATTCTGCCGTTTCTCTACAGTATATAGAGGTTGAAGTGCCTTTAATATTTGGACAACTTAGTTAAAGTGTGGTATATTCTGTTTTTCCAAGTCCCCAATTCCTTTCTTTTAAACTGCACTGGCCTGGTCCCTCAAAGAATCCCAGTGAGGGGCTAGACAGATGGCTCTGGCTTAGAGCACTTCTAGAGAGCCCAAGTTTGGTTTCCAGCACCCACATTGATGGTTCACAACCACCTGTAACTCCAGCTCCAAGGGATCCCAGTCCTCTGGCCTCCAAGGGCAACTTTACTAGTGCACATACCTACATGCAGACACATATCCACACACATTATCAAAATTATGTAAGTCAGGCAGTAGTGATGCACGCTTTTAATCACAGCATTTGGGAGGCAGAGGTCATATCTGTGAGTTTGAGGCTAGCCTGGTCTACAGAATGAGTTCCAGGACAGCCAGAGCTACACAGAGAAACCCTGTCTTGAAAAAAACCAAAGTAATAATAATAATAGAAAAAATTCTTTTTCTCTAAAAAATAGAAAGCCTGGGGATGTGGCTTAAGTGTTTGCCTAGCTTGCACAAAGCCCTGGATTCAGTCCCCAAGACCACATGAAACAGATGTGGTAGCACATGCCTTATATCCCAACAAGCAGGAGGTACAAGCTGGAAAATTGGAAATTCAAGGTCATCTTCAGTTATACAGAGATTGGGGCCAGACTGGCTACAAGAAACTCTTTTTTTAAAAAATTGATTTTCATTCTAATACATTCAAGAGTTACTAGGTTCGTATTTTTATTGAATCAGATAGGTAGTGTTAGTCTTCAAAATTTTCAGACATGATAGAATTCCCCAATATCTTTGTCTTTTTCACAGGACTAGCTGCAAGGATTATCTCAGCTTCTAGATTAGCTATTAAGTCATATAAGTATGGGGCAGAATTGATGGTTCAGTGGTCAAGTAAACAAACAAATCTTTATCTTTAAATAATGAAAGTTACTTAGATTTGGTTTCATTATCAGATGCCAAAAGATAGCTTTTTAGTATTTTGTCAGTAATAAAAGTATAATCGCAATCTCTAATCAAACATGACAAGATTTGTTTTCCTAAGTTTTGGAATAGAAATTGTTTTTGTTTTGTTTTCTCTTTTGAGACAGGGTCTTTACATAACCCTAGCCATCCTCAAACTCATAGAGATCTTCCTCTGCCTCTGCTAGGATTAAAGGCCTGTACTGCCTGCCAGCCTGGCTGAAATAGGAAACGTTTTTAAATACATGTTCAATTGTTGGTGGTGGCACACACCTTTAATTCCAATATTCAGGAGGCAGAGACAGGTGGATCTCTGAGTTGGAGGCTAGCCTGGTCTACAGAGTTCCAGGATAGCCAGGGCTACACAGAGAAACCCTGTCTCAAAAAATAAACAAAAGTGTGTGTGTGTGTGTGTGTTAGCACTGCACAAAAATAAATATGCCACTAAACCAAGAATGAAGGCATGAGTTCATGTAGCTTGGGTTTGTCTAGTACTAGCTTTAAAGCTGAGAATGATCTTGAACACTTTCTTTCTCTCATTTCCTTCCTTCCCACCTCCATCCATTTCTTTCTCTACCCCCACACCCCACCCCACCCCACCCTACCCTTGCCTCTCTCTTTTGTAACAAGTTCTCAACTGTGTATCATGGCTGGCTTGGAACTCACAATGTACCACATTGGCCTTGAACTCATAGAGATCCACCTGCCTCTGTTTCCTGGTCCCTGGGATTAAAGGTGTATTTACCACACCTGGCTGAAATTACTTTTTTATTATAGTCAGCCCTATTTTTACTTATGTGTGTATGTCCTTGTGAGTAAATTCTAGACGTGTTTGGGCACCAGTGCAGACCAGAAGAGAGTGTCAGAATTCTTAGAGCTGGAACTCCAGGTTACAACTTACAACTTACAGGTGGTTGTAAGCCATCGAGCCTGTGTGCTGG